TTAAAGTTTATCAAACTTTTATGGGGGCACCGGTAAATTTTTATATTCAATTTTTCTCAAAAACAGAAGTGTTTTAGGGGCTCTATTTTCTAGTGCTTACAATACATCAACAGGGGCATCCAAATATATCAAAATAGTAAAGATTCACTATCCACCCAATTTCCAAAATTTCCCAAAACGTTGTATTACCTTTAACAGATAGCTATAGTTTATGTTCCCCGCCTTTTATTATTTTGTTGAACAAGAGTTTTGAGTTGGGTACAAATTATTGGTGAAGCATGTTTGTATGGAACATTCAGTTTGATATTAGAATGATATTCAATGATTGAATGAATAATGATTATAAAGACTGTATCTCCATTCTCATGTACTGGTAGGACATATGTGAAGAAATAACAAAAACAAACCATCAAATTTTTTTTTAAAGGTGAAGTCCACCCTAATATCAAATTGGTTTAAAATAGAAGCAGAAAAATGAGAAAAACAGGTCAGTGAAAGTTTCAGCATAAACCCATGAAAATAAGGAAGTTATGAATTTTTTCAAAGGTGCAACTAATCAATCACATATTATTGATATTAAATTCTGTGATGTATCTTGTGACGTCCATTCCCATTTGCGGTGTACTAAAACCTTCAAAAATCTATATTTAACCCTATGAAAATTTTCAATCATACATTCACCTTAAATATGGTTATTACAAATATGTTTTTATATCATCCCTGTATGAAACAAATCTATTTTATCATCAATAACTAAGAAAATAAAAGTTCCATACAGAAAAATTTCGAGCCAGTTTGTGTTTCACTGATGACAACTTCAAAAATTCATAAGTCTTTAATTGGACTTTGCTTGAACTTTCACTAATTTGTTTTCTCATTTTCTGTTTTTATTAAATCCAACTTAATATCAGGGTGGACTTCCCCTTTATTAAATGTACCACTTTCATTTAATATGTTTTGTTGATTGTGACACTTTGGGCCATGCACTTCTGAAGTTCTGAGTCGTGTTAAATGTTGAATCGTACCTTTAAGCCAGATACTAGCTTGAACTTAGCTGGCGAGCAAGGGGGGAGGTCTGACCGCAGCATTGCTGGTGAACTGTGAAAGTAGTTTCTGAGCCATGCTCTGCACTCTGGGTTCTCAACATGAATATTTCTCAGCACAAAAACATGAAATGTTTTCCAGCACAAAAATATGAATACTGCTGACAGTTTGTTGACAAAATGTCCATTGTCCCTTTCCAGCCTCCTCCCTCTTCCTCCCCCTCCTTCTCTCTCTCTCTCTCTCTCTCTCTCTCTCTCTCACTATCTTTCCATCTTCCCTTTCCCCTATGTCTCTCTCTCCCGTCCATCCTGTGCTTGCTCTCCTCTTTGGCTCTTGCTCTGCCTACTTTAAAGGCATAGTTTAACAATGTTAAATCTGAGATGCATGGCCCTACGTGTTATCAGTGTCAGTGATATATGGTGTAATATTGAAGCCCTATAAAACTTGCGCTTCAAAATGATCATGAAGTGCCTCAAAAAAGTAAAAATCTTTGTGTGACAGGTTTTAACATACTCATTATCCCCAATAGACTGTAGTGTTATAAAAACGAAAAATGAAATTTCGATTTTCAATCATAAATATCTTGATAATCAGACAGGCGATCGGCTTGTAAAAGCCATGGGATTCCTGACTGACCTAAAAGTTTATAATTATGAATGCAGCATGAAATTTTGTTTCAGAATCTGAGACAATGTTACCTAGTCATTTTAAAGGTACACGTACATTTGATTTGAATGATTAGATGCCTGTCTTTCTCTGTAGGTGTAATTGTTGTCATCAGAAATGTCCAGTTTCTCATGTCTCTTCTTCTTGTTCTCATTATTCTATATACCGATACATGTATTGCCCTATTTTTCCCCCTTTTAATTAGCTTCTCCTCCCTCATCTTCATTCTCTTTTTATTTATCTCTTGCTCTTCTCATCCCATTTCCGGTCTTGATATAAGCGCCATGACAACCATTGTAACATTGGTATAGATTGATCTTGCAGCGGAAACAGTAAATCTTGAAGTCTTTGTTATTTATCTATCCCACGATAAATACAGTGTGGCACACAGACATGATACTGTTAAGAGTTAATATCCCTCATGTTCCTACAATTTTTGTCCAGCCTTCTGTCTCCTAGCCAATTATAAATTTTTTGCTAAAAGTTAGCTTGGCGAGGATTACTGTCTTCACCTGCTGATTCATAAAACCATTGTATTAGGTCATGGCACTTCCTATCACATGTAAGTTCTATTTAAAAGTGACAACACCTGCTTAAAGAGGGATCACACATTTGAGGAATGACATTTATGGAAACACTCTGATGAGACTTTGCATTGTTTTGGTTTCTATATGTACCTGCAGGAAACACTCATGTGAATTTATGTAAATTTCTGCTGAGAATGTATTTGGTCTACTTTATGTGATGAAAACATTTAGGCCTATAGCACATGATTTCAAGATTACGAGAATCAGCTTTTAACAAAATTTTTGTCCTCATCCCACCTTGCATATCTTTTTCTTTGATATTCTTTGATCTCCATTTCCTCTCCTTTCTCCCACCTCCCCTCTGTCTCCATTTCTTTGCTTGCCTCCAATAATCATGACGTGTTCTTGGCAATGTCCCATACCTATGTCACTCACACCTCATTCTGCCAAACATGCTTGCTTCAGGGAGGGATTTGACCCTTGACCTCTGTATTTCATATTGCCTTTCATGTTCCAGCTCACCCCAAAACCCAGCCTTCTGGAGCCAAACCTACTAACCCTACCAATGTAAACTATACTTTAAACCCCCCATTTAGTCAAGCAAAATTGATCATACAGCTATATGAAAACCATAGGCTAAAAAAATCAAAGAATTTATATTCAATGCCCGTGTGACTATTTTATTGAACAAAAACTGTGTAAATTGGGCGTGGCTTATATGAGTATGAACTGATACATGTGTAAGGGGTGAGGTAGTCCAGTGGTTTGAGCACTTGACTGGAAGTGCAAAGGTTGTGGGTTCGATCCGCAACATGGCACTAATGTCCTTTGCCAAGCCATTAATCTACATTCGCCACTCCATACCCAGGAGAGAAATGGGAACCTGATGGAAGCGTTTTTGGTAGTAATTACCTTATGCCCCCATGGTGGCCATATGGTAGGAATACTCCCAAGGGAGTGGAGATGGTGCACACTGTGCTTGAGTGATAGTGATAACCAGGGCCCCGTATTATAAAGAGTTGCGATTGATCCAAATCAATAGGAAGTCCTTTAATCAATCACAAGTTTGCAGTCTCCTATCTCTTATGTTCATAGTTGCGATTAATATCAAATTTTTATAAGACCGCGCCCTGGGTAATAATAACCTGTAAAGCGATGAAATATTGGGTATTTCATATAAAGCGCGATATAAATCCAGATTTATAATTATCATGCATTATACCTGAACAGATGCTAAACCATGTATGGTCTAAGCTGACCTCCCCAAATCCAATTTATCAATACAAAATTGTTATTAAGTCCTACAGTATCCATTTCCCATGTGTATGCACCTTTTGGTAATTGATGATTATTTTATTATTATTATTATTTATTAGGCCAATCATAAAAGCACAATACAATGACATTTTGACAGATCATACAATACATAAACAATACAAGAGGAAAAGGGAGGGAGCAGCGTGTGGGCCATTTGATGATTATTTATGTTTTTTAGATCCAAATGTGGTATACATTCTCTAGTGTGAATGTGCTGTTGTTTGATGTTGTGCCCCCATGCAATCAATCACGCTCTCTTTTATTTTACCCAGCTGTGCCTGCACGGACATTCATTACCATCAACAGTTCATCCAGTCAAGAGCAGTCACAAAATTCATGTTCATATTTATTTCTCTCTAAACATTCCTGTCTGTCATTGGCATTATATTCATGTATTGGAGCACATATAAATACAGTAAAGGCTGGGCATCAAATAAGGATCATGGTCATTTCTGTCATCTGTTCAATATAAATGACAAATTTATATCTTGGGAGTATGGTGGAGCTCATACATCAATTTATCCATTTCATCATTATTCTTTCCACTCATCGATAGTAATCCTTCCCAACTCCCTCCAGAATTTCTTTCTTACCTTCCAAATAAAATAAAATGGATTCTTGTAAATACGTATTTGTCACATCAATACCATACGAGGCATGAGCTCATTATACACGTAGGTCAAAGATCACTTGAAGTACACATGATCTGAAATGATCTGAAATCTTGTACAACATCATTATTATTATTATTATTATTATATTGATGAGGCCTAAGGGGGTGGTTGGGGGTACTACTTCAACAAGGCAGCCAAAACATTCCAAACAAGCATATACAGGAAGCTTTCATGCCTTCAAATTTGGAGACTAGGATAAAAGCAACTGTCAGGTTTTCCAAAATGCAGACAGGGGTTCCAAAATGTTTACCACGTCCCCCCCCCCCCCCCCCAACATTCCTATGTGTCACAGTGTTTTGTGGATTGTGTCCAACCCACCACTGACCTCAGCCGACAATTCAATTAGAATCTTCTTCAGTTTGTCTTTGAGTTCTAAGCTATATCCTTGTAAGAGTTGCACATTAATTTTAGGAATCTGTCAACTTCAGAAAAAAAGATTGCAACATTTTCAAATCCTGTAGGCCTATGAACTGAAAATGTATGTTTTTTTCTCTCACAAAGTTGTTTTGCTATATAAAATAGTATATAGTGTGTAAAGTAAATCTAATTTTAAAGGAAAAAAATCCTAACAGAAGAGGCGTAAATATTCACTCCTGAATGATAAACGCCTATAAACCAAAACAACAACAACAAGTTGCAAATATTTGTGAAGTTGGCTTAAATTGTATCCTTCTCATATTTTATTTGTCTTTTTAGAAAGCTTGAGGTATGATACGGTTTCCTTTCATTCATGAGATTCTCTCTCATAATTTGGTTACTTTCTTTTATCCAGATTTGACGTATGGAGAGTTTGGAGTAGGGCTGTATTTCTCAAGCCACCCAGGAACTGCAGCTCACTTTTCAGCAGTAAGTAAATTTCTTGATAGGGACCACATTAAAGAAATAAGAGTACTGTAATATGCACTCTTAAATTATGATTATTTATTATGATTTTATTTATTATTATTGTATGTATTGGGATATTTTTATTATTTTATTTTATACCCTGCATCAAAAATTTATTGGTTTTGATTGGTATAGAGCTCGTCACGTGACCAGAAATAATTCAACTATTTTATGGTGCTCTGAAAAAGTACTATTTGGGAGTACTATTTGGGGGTTGAAATTCCTTTTTTTTTTTTTTTTTTTATTTAATTTTTTTTTCTTCAAATTTCTTAATTTAGTTTCTTTCTTATATTTTTAATTCTTTTTTGATAAAAATTTAATTTTTTTAATTCTAAATTTATTTATTTTTCCCCCAATTTTTAAAAATTATTATTATTATTTTTTTTTGGATGCAGGATATAAAACAAATATACCGTAATTAACGTTGTATAAACCGCCCTCGTGTTTTAACCGCACCCCTCTTCTTCTTTTTTTTTTGCCGACTTGAAAAACAGTAGAGAACCTAGGATAGAACCTTGTGGTATGCCGTGTAATAGAAGAAAATTTGGAGGAATTATTATTATAAACTACATATTGAAATCTATCAGAAAGATTACTTTCAAACCAAGATGACAGACAAATTTGAGTGTTGTTCTAGATTCCAAGTGGTGAGTCAACACACTGATTACTGAGCTGGGAGACATTGCCAGGCATAGCGCCAGGTGGAGGGGCATAAATCAAAACTTTAGAAAAAAAATAAAATTATTAATTACGGTACCATGCCTTCTTTTCGGGGTACTGGTTTAAACTTTGGGCCTCAGTGACTCCAATAGTACTATTGGAGTCACCTCTTGCGCATAGTTTTAACCAGAACCTCTCAAGACAGTGTATATTTGTATAATCATTTAATTTTTATTATTACTTTTGTTATTATCACTCCAATAGTCCATTCTTATTCTCGTTGACAAACGGAACATATTCAATACCCTGGTGAAGTTGCAAACTGTTGCAAGATGTCTCCTCCTCCTTTTTTGTTATTGTGCATCTAGGATGTTTTTTCTTAGGCTCTCTCCAAAAGATGAATGCACCTTCAATGTTCTCAATCAATCTCCCCTGTTGTGAATGATCACTCTCATGGCTCCTCATCTTGAATAAATACACTCCTGCCTCCGTAAGAAGAATGGGGGATTGAACTCGACCTACATGTTCTCTCCCACCACCTGCAGACTATATGAAAAAGGGGGCGACTTCATTCAAAATTCTTTAAAGTTAAAGACCAGTTCTGGTCCAGCGATTGCATTGTGAAAGAAACATTGTTGAATCGATCAGAAAAGGTTAATCATCTAGTATATAAGTATTGGTGTGTACTGCAAGGTTCTGGAATAAAAAAAAATGATAAGAAATTTGGCCCAGTCTTGGTAAAGTTACAAGCACTGTATACAGAAAGATGTATATGGGACTACGCGACACGTGCGCAATATCTATCAGGTCCAAATAGATATAATAATTTACCAAATATATCAATTAGTAGGCAGTTTCCCGGCACAATTTGCATCATCACGTATTAGTCAAAAACATATTCTTTCCCATGATTGTTAATAAGAGCTTCCATTTCATTTTTTTGAGAGGGGGTGTTTCCAAAACTGGTCTTTACCTTTTAAGGGAAATCCAACCTTAATAGACAACTACTCTAAAAGTACGCAGACAAATCTGAGAAGCTGACTGATGAAAGTTTTAGTTAAATCTGACTAAAAATAAGAAAATCATAATTTTTTTTTATGAGTAGTAATTTACTATGTGTATGGGCACTTCGAATGGACTGAATCGGTAATGTCACTGTGACGGAGTGCCAGACTACTTTCCTATTTGTTCCAACACACAAAATGACTAAAGTTTCAATTTGTATGCCTCCGTTACGAAGTAACTGGAGGCATTATGTTTTCGGGTTGTCCGTCCGTCCCTCCGTCCTGTTCTCGTGATCACGTTATCTCAAGAACCGATTGATGGATTCCTGCCAAACTTAAGTCATGTATGTATCTTGCAGAGCTAACGAATTGAGTAGATTTTGGGGTCAAGAGGTCAAAGGTCACATTGCTCATTATGTATGCAAAAATAGCTTGTGATCGCGTTATCTCAAGAACCGATTGATGGATTCCTGTCAAACTTAGGTCATGTATGTATCTTGCAGAGCCGATGAATTGATTAGATTTTGGGGTCACAAGGTCAAAGTTGACAGGGCTCATTATGTGTGCATAAATAGCTCTTGATCACATCATTAGAACCGATGGACAGATTATCATCAAACTCAGGACATGCATGTATCTTGCTGAGCAAATGAATTGATAAGATTTTGGGGTCACGAGGTCAAAGGTCAAAGGTCAAAGGTCATTGGGCTAATTATATATGCAAAAATAGCTTGTGATCACATAATTATTATTAGAACCGATGGATGGATTACAATTAAACTCAAGACATGTATGTATCTTGCAAAGCCAATGAACTGATTAGATTTTATGGTCATGAGGTCAAAGATAAAAAAGTCATACATGTTTATGAAAAGTAGCTTGTAATCACGATGTTCTGAGAACCTGTTAATGGATTACAATTCAACTTGAATTTGAAAAATTGCTTCTGTTTTGGTTTGTGAAATCGCTCTATGGCGGAGGCATCATTTTCGACTGCGCGCAGTCAAAGTTCCATCTAGTTAAAAAATGTTTAACTTAGGAGGGTCTATTCTGTTTATAGGACCTACAATGATATGCTATCCATATATTTTGAGAAGTGCCCCAAGGGATAAGACACTTAGGAGAAATTTATGATATTTGTGTTCAAACAGGATTTGCGTCCTATGTCACAATCCACTGACCAAAATGCCAATTTGAGATTCGCATCGACTCGGTGATCTCATATTTCAAACATTCATAACTTACTATTGTGGGTCCGATTTATTTCCAACTTTCGCCATTCTGTTTATCTCATTTTCCTGCGTTTATACAAATCAACTCATTACAAGGGTTGGATTGAACTTTAAATAAAATTTCTGTGAAACAGCATCAGAGTTAGATTTTCAAGACCTGTTATCCCCATAATAAGAGAAAATTTAATTATTCTAGCCCTTTTTTCATTTGAAAATACAAACGAATTCAAGCTCATGGGGCTCAGATTTTGGAGTTGACCAACATATGGGCTAAGTTTGGTGTTTTTCGTAGAATTTGCGCCAAACCATACCACCAAATAGGTAACCTAGATAAGCAACAGCATACCATGTAAATCAATGCATATCTTTAGTAAAATTTAGTGACTAGAGAATTTGGTGGGTGTTTTTCTGATTTTGATTTAGATGCCAGTTCAAATTTCTGACTTTTGTTGAGGTAATATATTTTATTTTCAGGAATAGGGTACTGACCAACAGTCGTAAAAGTTTCTTTTAGTGGCATGCAATTGCACTTTCCTGTCCGTGTCGCTTTTGTTAACATCGTTCGTAAAAGATTCTAGGGGAATTTTCTAGTTTACCTGTGGGCATCGTTATTCTGGGAAATGTTTTTTACGCTCTGATCATTAAATCATAAGGCGCATTTATACTGTCAAATACCTCTTTTCCTAAAATCGCGATGTTTCGCGCACCCGTTTACACTTGTGCAGAAACATCACCGACTGAAAAGCTCAGTGATGTTTTGGCGTGTTTCAGTTGATAATGCGCATGCGCGGCACTCCGATGCAAAAACTATTATTACTATCATTATATTCTTTTTCTTTTTTCTTTCTGTCTTTCCATATGTTATTCTTTGTTTCTTCCTTCTATCACCTTCTCTTAAGTTATTCTTTTTTTTAATCATTCTATCACTTTCTCTTTCTTTATGTTATTCTTTATATCTTCATTCTATCACTTTCTCTTTCTGTCTTTCCTTATGTTATTCTTTATTTCTTTCTTTTATCACTTTCTCTTTCTGTCTTTCCTTATGTTATTCTTTGTTTCTTCCTTCTATCACCTTCTCTTTCTGTCTTTCCTTATGTTATTCTTTATTTCTTTCTTTTATCACTTTCTCTTTCTGTCTTTCCTTATGTTATTCTTTGTTTCTTCCTTCTATCCCCTTCTCTTTCTGTCTTTCCTTATGTTATTCTTTGTTTCTTCCTTCTTTTACCTTCTTTTATGATATTCTTTGTTTTTACTTTCTATCACCTTCTCTTGTATTATTCTTTGTTTCTTCCTTCTATCACTTTCTCTTTCTTTCTTTCCTTATGTTATTCTTAGTTTCTTCCTTCTATCACTTTCTCTTTCTGTCTTTCCTTATGTTATTCTTTGTTTCTTCCTTCTATCACTTTCTCTTTCTGTCTTTCCTTATATTATTCTTTGTTTCTTCCTTCTATCCCTTTCTCTTACTGTCTTTCCGTATGTTATTCTTTATTTCTTACTTCTATCACCTTCTCTTTCTGTCTTTCCTTATGTTATTCTTTGTTTCTTCCTTCTATCACTTTTTCTTTCTGTCTTTCCTTATGTTATTCTTTGTTTCTTCCTTCTATCACTTTCTCTTTCTGTCTTTCCTTATGTTATTCTTTGTTTCTTCCTTCTATCACCTTCTCTTATGTTATTTTTTTTTTTTTTTTATCATTCTATCACTTTCTCTTTCCTTATGTTATTCTTTATTTCTTCATTCTATCACTTTCTCTTTCTGTCTTTCCTTATATTATTCTTTGTTTCTTCCTTCTATCACTTTCTCTTACTGTCTTTCCTTATGTTATTCTTTATTTCTTCCTTCTATCACTTTCTCTTTCTGTCTTTCCTTATGTTATTCTTTTTTTCTTCCTTCTATCACTTTCTCTTTCTGTCTTTCCTTATGTTATTCTTTGTTTCTTCCTTCTATCACTTTCTCTTTCTGTCTTTCCTTATATTATTCTTTGTTTCTTCCTTCTATCACTTTCTCTTACTGTCTTTCCTTATGTTATTCTTTATTTCTTCCTTCTATCACCTTCTCTTTCTGTCT